GGGGGGGGCGACCCCCGGGCTCCGGAGGAAAAGGTTGGCAATTTTCCACAGTAAAGCGTCGGTGGATCACGCTCTCTCCTTTTTATTATATATATATATTAGTGTTATCATTATTAATATTTATTATTATTATTATTATTATTATTATCATCATCATTATTATTATTATTATCATTATTATTATTATCATTATTATTATTATTATAATTATTATTATTATTATCGTTATTATTATTTTTTATTATTATTAATATTATTATTATTACTATTATTATTATATTATTATATTATTATTATTTTTTATTACTATTATATATATATAGGTATTGGGATTGGTCTGGCACTTTCTCGCCCGCTTGCCGTGGTGCTCGCTCCTGATGGGCATGGATTGTTTACATATTGCTCTTAGTGTTAAGTCGGACATGTCTCTCTACAGGGGGGATATCCAAAACTAGTCAAAGCATATTCTGTGGACTAATGTTTGATAATGTCGAGCATTTCGGGGGTATTTTCTGGGGAATTTTTAATTATGTCGTCCAAGATCCCCCTGTTTGGGGACAGGCCCGACTTAATCTTAGTGTGTGTGTGCTTTGACAAATCTAGAGACGATGGCGACGTCGAAACCGACGATGACGACAACGGAAGCGACGACGAACACCGACAGCGACGGCGGGGACGGAACCGGGCATGACGACGGAAGCGATGAGGTTTCCACGACGACCTCGACGGCAAGCACGGAACCGACGACGACGACGACGACGACGACGACAGCGGAAACGATGAGGAAAAGCGATGACGGCAACGACGGAGGCGGCATGAGGCGAGAGCAGGGACGACGTGGGTGCCGACGGGGGCGTCGAACCGCCCGTCACCCCGAGGTGCACCGGGCGCCCGCGGCAAGATGACGGGGCGCCTTGGGGGGCGGCCGTCGTCGTCAGGGTCGTCGCCGCCCTCGAGGGCGAGCGTCGAGGACGGATCCGTCGATGGAGGCTCCAGGCTTCTTGGCGCCTTCCGCTCCCTCCGGGGGCTCCGGGGGGGCGCCGGGCGACTGCGGCAGGGGGGCGGGGGCGCCCCAAGGCTGCCGCCGCCGCCTCCAGAGCCGCCGCCGCCGCCTCAGCGATGCGCAGGGGGCGCCCTCTCGCGGGGGTGGCCGGCGCGGGGGCGCCGCCGCGGCGCCCTCCCTCGGCAGCGGGACGGATCGGCCACGCGCAGAGGGGGGCAGGGGGAGGGGGGAGGGGGTCTTGGGAGCACCCCGGTCTCTCAGGAAGCGCGGGCCTGGTCTGCAGATGCAGGGCGGGGGCCTTCCAGGAATTCAGCTCCCCTCTGCGACGCCTTCCCCCCGTCCCCTTAGTCACCCCCCTCCTAAAACAAGGCTAGGATCGGGATAAATCGCTCCAGAGCGTCCCGGAGCGTTCTCAGAGCGTTCCGGAACGCTCTGGAGCGGCCGCGGCGCCCAATACATCCTCCAAACCTGCCGATTATCAGAGATTTCGAGTTATCCCGATCCGATTTTGTCCCGATCTTCCCGTCGTTTTACCTCTGCGCGCCGCCGCGGCGCCCTCCCTGGGGAGCGGGGCGAAGGCGCGCGCGCGGGGGCGCTCACGTGGCGCACGCGCGCGGGAGCTCGCGCGGCGTGGGTGCGGCCCCGCGGGTGGGGGGCGGCGCGTCTGCGTGCGCGGCCCCGCCTGCGCCCCCGTGCCTCGGTCTGCCACGGATGCGCCCCGCCCCTTGCCGCGGGTGCGCCCCGCCCATGAGCATAAATTTCTGGCGCTCCGCGCGGGCTTCTCGGATCCGCGCTGGCCCCCCCCCTGGCGGCGCCTTCGGCGGCGCCCCTTCGGCGCGCTCCGCGCGCCGGCGAGGGGGGTCCCGCGCGGACCCCAGAGGTCCGCGCGGAGCGCCGCTGCTTCTGCCTGTGGGCGCTCTTTCGTCCGCTGTCTGACCGATTGCTGGACGCGTGCGCGGCTGGGCGCGCACGCCTGGGAGCCCCTGGCCTCCCAGGCGCCCAGGGGAGGAGGAGGAGGAGGAGGACGAGGAGGAGGAGGAGGAGGAGGAGGAGGAGGAAGACGAGGAGGAAGACGAGGAGGAGGAGGAGGATGAGGAGAAGGAAGACGAGGAGGAGGAGGAGCACGAGGACGAGGAGGAGGAAGATGAGGAGAAGGAAGATGATGATGATGATGATGATGATGATGATGATGATGATGATGATGATGATGATGATGATGATGATGATGATGATGATGATGATGATGATGATGCTGATGCTGATGCTGATGATGATGATGCTGATGCTGATGCTGATGCTGATGCTGATGATGATGATGATGATGATGATGATGATGATGACGATGATGATGATGATGATGTGATGCTGATGATGATGAATATGATGATGATGATGATGATGATGTGATGATAGAGATGATGATGATGATGATGATGATGATTGATGATGTGATGAGATGATGATGAGAATGATGATGATTAATGATGATGATGAGGAGGAGGAGGAGGAGAGGAGGAGAGGAGGAGGAGGAGGAGGAGGAGGAGGAGGGAGGAGGAGGACGAGGAGGAGCAGGACGAAGGAGGACGAGGACGAGGACGAGGACGAGGAGGAGGAGCAGGAGGAGGAGGAGGAGGGCGAGACGAGGATCCTTCTTTTCCTCTCCCGATGAGGAGGAGGGAGGGAGGAGGGGAGGAGGAGGAGGGAGGAGAGGAGTGAGGAGGAGGAGGAGGAGAGGGAGGAGGAGAGGAAACCCAACCCAGCCCCGACGGCCGCTCCGAGCGGCCGGGACCCGCCCGCCGAGGGTTGGGACTCCCTCGCAGCCGCCGCGGGCGCGGAGGGGGGTGGGGGGGCGCGCGGGGCGGCTGACCCGTGCCGGCTGTCGCCGCGGGGGGGGGGGGCGGCTGACCCGAGCTGTGCTCGACCCCCCCCTTCCTCCTCCTCCTCAACCCGCATCCCATCCTACTCTTCCTCCCACCCTCCTCCTCCTCCTCATTACGCACACCTCCCTCCCTCATCACCATCCTCCTCCTCTTCCTCCTCGGCCCCCGCGGCTCAGCTGGGGGTCGCCTCCTCGGGGCCAGCAAGGGCGCCCTCTGGGGCGCGTTCTGGCAGCTGCGCCTCGCCGGGGGCGTTCCGAGGGTGCCCGGATCATCCCGAACGGCCGCCAGGAGGCCGAGCGGTGACCCAGAACGGCCGCCCAGATGGGGGGGGGTCATGGCAGTTTTCCAGCCTCGGGGCGCAATAGGGGCCAGCGAAGGCGTCCTCGAGGGCGCGAAGTTCCTCGCGCACCGCGCTTGCCGCGGCTCGGCTCGCCTCTTCTCAGCCTCCTCCTTCTCCTCTTCGGCTCAGCCGTAGCCATATTGGCTCAAGATGCTTTGTTCCACAGGGGAACGCGTGGATACCGTTAGTCCGCGGCCAGTGTGCAGTCCTTCCCCTGGTCAGCCCCATGGCGAGCGCCGAGGTGGTCCGCCCCACCTCGGCTTCGAGGCCCGCGCAAGCCCCACTGGTGCTGCGGGCAATGCGGGCGCGCGGAGAACTGGGCGTGCCGCATCCAGTGCCTCTGCGGCCGCGACGCGCCTGCTGCCATCCTCTCGCGTGCTCGCCAGAAGCACAAGGACGCCGATGCTGGCGGAGGCGGCGGCAAGAAGGCGGGCTTCAAGCAAGGAGGCCCGGCGACGCAGGGCATCCCCAAGCAGCTTGCGGAGTGGATGCAGGCCATCGAGAAGCGTTTGGCGCCGCCCGACAAGGAGTGGCCCAAGCCTGGCGGCACAGCGCCGTGGCGCGAGGCCGCAGACGGCGCTGACCCTGATAAGAAGTCGCAGAGTGCCAAGCTCGGCGAGCGGATCACGGAGCTCGAGGGGTGCCTTCCGAAGCTTCCACCCGCCGACGAGCGCAACAAGGATCTTCGGGGTCCGATCGAGAAGCAGTTGGAGACGCTGCGTACGGAGAAGCGTGCGCTACTGTCTCCCCAGGCCCTCCATCGGCGCACGCAGCAGGATTTGTAGCGGGCGCGGAACGGCCTGGAGAAGTTGGAGAAGGAGTCGGGTGAGCAGGAGCGCCAGCTTGAGGAGTTGGCCAAGGGCATCGCGACGCGCAAGGAGACCATCGCAGCGAAGAAGTTGGAGGTGGCGGCGCTGGGTGCGGCGTTCAGCGAGTCGGCCAAGAACGTCACCACCGTTGCGGCCGACATCGACCTGGTTGAGGACGACGTGGCCGACCAGCCCGACCTCGTCGCGCTCCTCAAGCCTGAGGCATGGGTCAAGCTCAAGTCGGCGGTCGCCAGCAAGGCTGCTGCCCGTGCCGCCAGCGCTGGGACTGTTCCTCCTGCTGCTGATGCTGCTGATGAGGCTATGCCTGCCCCCGCGGAGGTGCAGAAGCGGGCCCTCTATCATGCTCGGAGCGAAGGCAGCATCGATGACTTCATGTCCGCCTTCGACACTATGTGGTCCGAGCTGGCGGCCAAGCGAGCGCGGCATGGGTGGTCCTTCGACTGCTTGGCCTGACGTTTGTGGGCTGCCTGGGCGTGTGCGGGCGCCGCCGAGCGGGGCCAGGCCGACGGTCGGTGCTGAGTTCAGCATCGAGACCTACAACGCCAGCGGCGGCAAGGCGTCCGTCAAGAAGCGCCTCGCCAACACGATGGCGAGCGTGGTGCTGCTGCAGGAGTTCGTGCACATCAGCGAGCACGTCGAGGCTGTGGCTTCATGGTGCGGTGTGCGGGGTTGGAGGCTTATGGCGTTGCCGAGCCTGCCGACTTCTGGTTCTGTGCCGTCGGCAGGTGTTGCTGGTGCCGTGCGCGATCGTCTCGGACTTCGTCCTCCTGCCATCGGTGTGCATGAGGTCGTCCCGAACCGAGTTCAGAATGTTCTCATAGATACACCCGAGCTGCCTGTCGGCCTGCATGCTTTCAACGTGTACCTGCACACTGGTGAGGGCGCCGCTGGCCGCAACGGCAGGCTTTTGCAAGAGTTGGGCCTCGCTGCTGAGGCACTGGGCGGCCCAGTCGTCATTGGCGGTGATTGGAACATGTGCCCGGGCGAGTTGGAGGCGAGCCAGTTCCCCGCTCACGTTGGTTGTTCGATTGTGAGCTCGTCTTCTGTCACGTTTCGAGGAGGTGCAGGTCAGTCTGTCATCGATTTTTCCTCCTCAACTCAGCGGCCATGAGGATGCGTGCCAGTGTCGGCATTGCTGTCAAGTGGGCTAAGCGAGGCCATCGGCCTGTTCATATTCTCCTCAAAGGTGATGCTGAGCACGTCAAGCGGCTGGTCTACACGGTGGCGCCAAAGATGGGCACCCAGATCATCATCGGGCCGCAAGTGCAGCCGCCCACCTACGCCAGCGCTCGGTGCGTTGCCGAAGCTGCTGTCCAGTCGCGTGGCGATCCTGAGTCTCCCCCTGGAGTTGGATGGGGCCTTTTCTCGGCGGCGCGGGGCCACTTCGCTGTCGCAGCCGCAGGGGCTATCGCGAACGCTGTGGGTCATCCGGATCGCAGAGTTCTTTTTGGTTTCGCTCGGTACTTGCAACCTCGGTGGGCCGACGTCACCAATGCGGCCAAAGACGCGTCCGACCTGCAGGCTGAGGCCGAGGGTTGGCAATGGTTGAAGTCTTCCCTCCTCAGCATCATGCAGTGCAAGACGGTGGCCAACCCGGCCGTGCCGGACCTGTCGTTGGCTGCTGAGGAGATCTTCAACTTCGCGACGGCCAACTACCATGGGCAGGGCCTTGCCGCGCGCCTCGATCGATCTGTTCAGCAGGCGCGCGGCGTGGTGCAGGCTGGCTTTGAGGAGGAGGCATGCCGCGAGCTCCTAGGAGACATTGAGCCCGACGTCAAGCTCGCGGTCAACGGAGCTACCCAGGAGGACCGCCAGAAGTGGAAGGAGTGGTGTGCCATGGCCGTTTCCAATGGCTCACGCCTCCTCCACCGCACTACGAAGTACCGTGACGTTGCTCAGCCCACGGTTGTCCCAACGGCCCATGGTGCGTCGGCTCATGTGCACGATGTTGTTCGGCACGAAGTGGAGACGTACAAGAGGTTGTGGTCCACTTCCCGTCCAGTGCCAGCATGGATTCCTGACCGAACGGCGTTGCCGAAGGTGAATCCTGGCGAGATAGGCGCAGTTGCGCGATCGTTCTCGCACGACACCACGGCAGCGCCTGATCATTTTAATCCCCGTCGCCTCCTTCTCTTGGAGGGTCAGGCCCTCGAGGTGGTCGCCCTGGTGTTCAAGGCGATGGAGTCTTTGGGGCTACCGCCGAGGCAGCTGTGCTGGTTGATCGCGCCGATGCTACCCAAGACGTCTGGTTCTGGCAATCGGTTGGCGGTGCTCTACGCTGGGCCCTACAGGATTTGGCAGCGGATGCGACGGCCAGTGCTTCGAGAGTTGCAGGGGCAGATTGACAGGCCGTGCTGGGGTGCTGCTCGTGGGCGGTCCTCCGTCGACTGTGCGTGGCTTCAGGCGGCTGAGGGCGAGGCCGACAGCAAGCAGCCCCAACGTGGCGCACTCGCAGTTGCCAGTTTCAACAAGTACTACGAGCGCATTCCTTTGACCAAGCTGCGCGACAAGTACATCAGTTTCAACGCGCCCACGGCCTTCCTGAAGTTGGTGTGCAACATGTGGCGTGCGCCACGTGTGCTGAGGTTAGCTGTTCATCATGCGGAGCAGGCCCTTTGTGCCGAATGCGGCCTCCCTGCTGGAGATGTGTTTTGTGATGTTTCGGTCAAGGTATGATCTGTGAGGTAGTATGACAGCTTCCTTGTCAGACAGCCGTTCATTCAGTTTGTGAGCTACATTGACGACAACTCGGTTCGGGTGTCGGCTACCACGGCGAGCACGACTACTTCATGATGGTCAACGCAATGCTGGAGTTCAGGGAGGCGGTCACTGAGCTCGGCGCGATCATCAACGACAAGCTAGTGATTGTCGGCACCACCCTTTCCCTTGCGCAGGGCATCGCGTCCAGGCTCGGCCGACCTGCCTCCGTTGCGAGGCGCAGCGCTGTCTATGTTGGCGTCGACGTCAGCGAGGGCAGCATGGGGGGCCGACCAGGGAGTGCCCACCAGGCGCGCCAAGCGCAAGGTGCACATGCTGAGGCGCATGCGGAAGATCAGGCCCTTCGGCAAGGCCATCACTGGCCACAAGGCGCAGTCTATCGGCCGCGTCATCCGTGCTGGCGCCTTGCCCGAGGCCACCTGCGGCAGTGAGGTCGTCGGGCTCAGCAACTCGGAGTCGCCGAGGTGCAGGCGTGATGTCGCTCGAGGCCAACTTCCTGTGCATGGTGGTGTGAGCCTTTCGAGCAAGACTGTCTTGCTCGGTGATGGCGCCGCTGCATCCGCTATTGCGCCTGCCATCCAGTGGTGCAGAATGTTGTGGCAATCGGAGGTCTGCAGACACCCGCTCGCTGTGCGTGCTCGCTTGTTGAGGCTATGGCGTGAAGCCAAGCCTTTTTCAGGTCACCGACTGGGAATCTAGTCGTGGCCCCTTGTCTCGAGCTGTGCTAGCTGCGCAGCGTGCGGGCTGGCGAGTCTTGTCCGCGATAAGCTGGATGGACCATCGAGGAGCGACAATCGACGTTAGCAGAACGCCTCCGAGTATGCTTTCAACTCTCATTTTTGCTGGCATTCAGCGCCAGCACGAGAGGGCTTTGGCCATGCAGCTGGGAGCTCCGACAGGTTGCAGGGCCTCGCTTGACTTCGTTCGGTCGCCGGTCGGCGATCGGTCTCGACGGCTCTCTAGTCTGCAGAAGTTGCTTGTTGGGAGCTGTTCATGCCGCGGAGTCTGGACCAAGGCTCGCGCCCGGGCTGCTGGCTACATTTGCGATGGCCTTTGTGCGTGCGGCCAGAGGCAGACAATCAAGCTTTGTTCGAATGAATGCATGCTGCCTGCCGTCGTCGCCGCCCGCACTGAGGCTAAAATCAGCCCCCCTATTCATCAGTGCAGGTATCGGGTCTGACGATCCCATCTTTGTGCAAGGAGCTCTCCTGTATGACGAGGGGGAATCCCCCCCCCCCCCTTCCTGCTCGGATAAAGTGGTCCTCGGGGGCCCTGAGGGGGAGGGGTTGGCGGTTGAGTTTGAGGGTGTGGCGTCTCTCGTTCAGGGCCCTCGATTGGACGTAGCCCCCGACGGCTCCTGCACACGGCCAGGCTTAGTGGAGCTTGAGCGCGCGTCGTGGGCACTTGCAGTGCTGTCTCCTGGGTCTAATGTGCCCGTGGCAGTAATTCGAGGCCCTGTTGCTGGCGACCTCCCGCAAACGTCGAGCATCGCCGAAAGTGTTGCGCTTTGCTTGGTTGGCCAGATCGCCGACCGCGAGACCCTGGCTGGCAGCGACTGCATCCCTGCGATTCGGCGATTCCAGCAGCCTGTTCAATCTCAGCTGCGCGCGTCCAACCAGGCCGCTGGCATTCTGAAGTTCGGTCGTGGCCTGGAAGGCCACCAATTCATCTCGGTTCGGCACGTCAAGGTTCATCGGTCCCAGGGGCAGATTGACAGTCTGTCGGGCGAGGAGCGCCACTGGGCCGAAGCGAACCGTTTCGCCGATCACCATGCTAAACTTGCCGCCAGTTTACACCCTGCTCCGTCGCTTGAGTTTTTGGCCAAGCTGGACCTCGCGAGGAGTCGGGCTGCCGATTTTGTGGCGCTGGCTGCTGCAATCCTCCCGTGCTCTGTCGAGGAGAGGCCGCAGCGGTGGCGGAGACCCACGCCACTGTGCCGACAAAGGAACTCTCGGGGGGAGGGGTGGCACGCTTGGGGTCTGGGGGAGCTCGGCTGGCAGTGCGAAGTCTGTTTCAAAGTTTCGCCATCGTGTCGTAACTTGCCTTTGAATGATTGTCTTGGGACCCCGTCGTTTTTGAAGCCTCTCACGGTTGACTCGACGGGACATCAGCTCGTCGCCGTCAGTGGCTCTCGTCTTGCTCCGTTGCGTGCTGTGCGGTGCCGTGCCGAAGAAGAGAGCACTAAGGCTCGACGGGGATCCTTGTTGTGTCTGAAGTGTGGAGGTCGGAGCCAGGAAAAGGCCATTAAGTTGAGCAAGCCCTGTGCCCCCTCCACCTGCACTGGTAAAATGATTTTGTCGCGTTTTCGGAGAGGGCTCGCCCCGAACCCCCGAAGTCGTGCGTTGATCGACCGAGCGATTCCTGCCCCACGTGTCGGCCTCACAGTGGCTAGTGCGAGGGATGTCAGAGCGACGACTTCAGTTGTTGAGTACTCGGTCGGCAGTGCCATCTCGTATGAAGCTCGAATGGCTCGCTTGATGGAGCGAGTTCGAGCCCGCGAGACTAGCCGCCAGGTTTAAGGTTTCGGAGCGGGTGCACCTGTCGCGAGCGCCGTGCGTGGCTTTGTCACCACGCTCGGCCTCGCAAGATCTCCCCCTGATGGTGCACCTGCCCAACAAGTTTTGCGGGCTGGGCCCTCTCTCCTGGGACTGTCCTCCTGGGAGTCGTCTCGTCTCATCTCATCTCATCCTCTTCGGCTCAGCCTCTTCTTCTCGTCCTCCTCTTCTCGTCCTCTGCTTCGGCTCATCCTTTTTCCTAGCGCTAAGCGTTTCGCGCCCTCCGCGGTTCGGATTCATCCTCATCCTCCTCTTCTCTCCTGGGAGGCGGCGGGAGAGCGCGAAGCTGTTCGCACTTCGCGCTTCGCGCAGCGCGCAGCGCGAAGTTGGGAACCCTTGGCCAAGGCAAGGCGGGCAGGCCTGGGGCTTGGCATCGCTCGGACGTGTGCACTTGTTTCTCGGCGAGGACCATCGAGGACCATCCTGGACCATCGGGCAACAACAACAACACGCACGAAACCGAAACATGCACGGGAAATGGGCGTCCGAGCGACGGCAAGGGGGGAACCGGGATGCATCATGCCGCGGGTGCTCTCGGAGCGTCCCAGGGGACGCCCCGAGAGACGCCGCGGCGCCCGCCACGATAACCGTCTTGGCCCGATCCGAGTTTTTCCTGAGCCTGGCTTTCAGTCTGGCCTGTCCCTCTGCAGGGGGAATATTCCAAAGTGGTTTCAATAACCAAAAATACAGGGACTCTTTTGTGAGCATGTATAGACATTTTTTTAGTATCTGTTGAGTATTGTTTATTTCGGGGGTGGACAGAACCCCCAACAGTGACACGTCGATTAGCGAATTGTCCGTTTGCGGTTCTCGAGAGGGCGCCGTGGCCGTTATTTTCCAGGCTCGCGCCCGCCAGGTTTGGGCCTCGGGTCGTTTTCACCAAACCACGTTTTGCTAAAGGGAGGTTTGTCCATCCCCGATTATTTGTCGTCGCGAATCCCCCTGCAGGGGGACACGCCCGACTTGAGCCTGGCTTCACCTCAGCAGGGCGGCGGCGAGGGCCGGCAGGCCGTGCGGCAAGCGCGGCGGGCGCGCGGCGAGGAGCGGGGCTCGTGCGCGCGGGCGGTGCAGGCCTCTGCTCGCCGAAGGGGGCCGCGGAGAGCTGGTGTTAGGTCGGGACTGTGCCTCTACTCGAGGAGATATACAAAGATAGTAAAAAAGATAGTGGAACAATCGTCAAACAATTCGCAAACTACTCACATATATTCAACCATACTCACAACAAACAAGCAAACATAACACAGTCAAACATGTTCAAACATGGTTGAAACAGAACCTGGGGACTGTGTTTTGGTATGTTTGGGGCATCTCTGGGGGGTCCGTTTGGGGTATATTTAGTTTCTCCTCGAGAGTCCCCATGTACAGTCCGGGCCCTGAAGAAGGAACCCTTTGCGTTGGAGAGGGGCCCGGCGTTCCTTGATTGTTCTGCAGCTTGCTTTCAGCTTTCCCGAGGTTTTCCCATGGGAGATCTAAGTTCAACGTATGGGAGAAAAGGGGCCCCGCTCCTTATTTGAGGCTCCTTAGGTCAACGCCTCGACTGTAGGGGGGGGA